TTATGTTGAGTACCATTATTTAATAAACCTCATAACTACTCTCCTGATTTTATTGAGCCTACTTTTAAATTTTAATTAGATGTAATGATCAGACAATTATAAAATGCTGACATTCCATGAGGCGTTGAGTTACTCTACTTTTCATCCTCATAAAAGTGGGGCCTGCCACTCTGGATCCCAAATTTAACCTGAACACAGTTTCTTAGGGCTCACTGGGTGTTTATTATCCACAGATCTATAAACATAATGCATGTGATAGTTACGTTCATAGGATGGTTATGTAATTTTATTGACCAGACAAGTAAACTTCAAAATGCAAACTGCATACAAGTTGTAACCTGTAGTTGTTTCCTGGATCAGACTTTTAAAGGTAAAATTCTCATTGTTCTTGATTCAGACCTTTTCTTTCTCTTGACTAAGAGGTAATCTCCTCCACTCTTGGTGTTTAATAGGAGGCAGCAACTTTAGAATTCTCTCGCATTTCAAGTGCCCACGCAACCGCTGTTGCCATTTACAGAAGTTGTGCATAAGCCCGGATACAAAATGAACCCTATGAGGAAAAAAAACGGGTCTATGAATTCACCCAAAGTGCAAATTACCTCTGAGATTCAGTTTCCCTTTTTTTGTAGAACTAACAAGTGAATCTTATGAGTTGGGACAAAAAAACCCACTGAAGTGAGCCTTTGAGAGACATTTGTGCTGCTGATGATAGCATTTTCATGATAATTTGTTAATGTTCTTGCAAAGCCTGGGTAATTTACTTCAGTAAAATCTAGCTTAATAGCCTTGTATATTTGAGGCCTTCACCCTGGGACCACATGCATGCCTTGGGCTGTTTGGTGCCTGCAGGGCATAGCTACCTAAAGGTCTCAGGCTGGCTTTCCCTTTCTCAGCTCCCCACTCCCACTTTTACTATCTCAAAGCCAGTGCCCAGTGTGGGACGCTCAACTGGGGTTAAAGGAAGCAGGGAGTTTGGTGAAAGGTGGGGCAGAGGGCACAGTGTGAACCAAACTCTGGGAGGCATGAACCTGCCAGCCCTCTTTTTAGGGGACAGGCTATTTACAAGAAAAGAAAATGATGTGTAAAAGACATACCATTCATTTTCTTTTCTGATCATAAAAATGATACACATTCGTTACAGAATTTTGAAAAACAGGAAGACTCCATAAAAAAAGGGCAAAGTCACCAATTGTTCTATCTAGATATCTTGATTCACTTCCTGCCAGTTTTTCTCTAAGCAGATTTTAATTACTTTAAGCAAATTTATTGTGTATGAAAACTTTTTTTTTTAGAAAATCTGATTTTTATAGCCACGTAACATTATTTGTATGCACTATGAGTTATAAAATGTTTTTATTACTAGGCAATATAGGTGACTTCTGTTATTGCATAACTATAAATAATATTGCAGTGAACATCCTTATATAGTAATCTTGGTCTCATATTCTAATTATGTTTTTAAGATAGACTCTCAGAAGGGATGAGCAGTATCAAAGGATATGAACATTTCAACATATTTGATACATAAGATTAAGTCAAATTGCTTTGCAGAAAAACTGCAGCAATTAAATAGTATGTTTAGCAGCAGGGTAAGATAGTCCTGTATTAATGCACTTTCACCAATATTGAGTTTTTAATCTGTGCTAATTTGTCAGGTAAAATGACAGATTGAAAGTCACATATTTAGTTTATGAGGACAAAATACATTATGCATAGTTTGGTTTGCTCATAAAATTAACATAGTTAGCCCATTGTAGAGCCATAAAATGAGTCATTGGAAGCTGAAAGTGACCTCAAAAATCACATAATATCCATGAAGGTGAAGTGGTTTCCCCAGACCACTCTTTAGTCTTGAACTTGAGATGAAAACTGATCCAATGTTCCTAAATAGAGATTTTTTTTGTAAAATAAAACTTGCTTTAAAATGTGGAAAGAATGGAGGAGACTTTGAGCTGTGGGCAGGTACTTTGCTTTCCCCACTGGTTTTTCATGGTCTTTGCAATAGTATCCCAGGCTGCTGCTCCTGACGCCTGGCCACTCCTCGGCCTCCCCTTTTGGAGGGAAGAAATCAAGAAATAGGAATTTGTTTCAGAATTAACCAAAGCAATGTACTATTAGGAAGCTCATTCTATTCTGAAGTTATCTCAATAGACCATCTAAAATCAAATAAATTTGCACTTTGGGTGAATTCTTAGACCCACAGGGTTCGATTTACCATAAAAAGGTCCTTAATTAAAATGGATACCCCAAATCTTCTCTTAGTGTGAATCTCAGAGAAAGGCCGTGTGAGGCAGACACAGAATCAGACAAGAGAAAAAAGTTCATAGAGGATATTCCCACACTTTTGCCATTGGAATATTAAAAATCCCAGTGATAATGCCTTTTCTTAGAAAAATACAGTACTTTATAGTTGACAAAAGAATCAATTGCACACAATCATCTGTAAAATGGGAATAATAGTAGTACCTGCCTCACATTTTTGTTGTGGAGATGCAATGAGTAAGCACATGTAAAATCCTTAGACTGGTGCCTCCCACATATGATGATGCCGTGACATGCTCAGGTGTTGCCCAGCTGTCTGATAGGTGAAGAAACAGACACTTGGCGGGAAAGACTCCAGGCCTCGCTAACAGTTACTAAGTGGTAATTAAGGTCTTTGGGCTTTGCCTCATCCATCCATTCATTCCAGATATCCCTGGAGGGCCAGGCTCACCCCTTCCACAGCAAATGTGACAGGTGCAATTTCTGCTCCAATAAAACTTACAGTAGAATGCCCTTTCCCCAAGTCTTATCATGTTTCTATGGTACAGCCATCAACTAGACAACTGTTCTTTGTTTTATGTCTTGCAAATGAGATTAAAGCCAGCTAATAAAAAACTGCAAGACCAGAAAGGCATACATCTTCTGTTATCTTGAAAAATTTGAGTTCATGCCAGCATCCTGGGCTCAACCCACCCCATCCCTGCAGTGCTGGGAACACTGTATTGTAGTTCTTTGGATAATTATCTTTCCCTATGCCTCAACACAAGACTGTCAGCTCCCTGAGGGCAGGAACTATCCTCAGAGTAGCACAGAGTAGGTGCATAACAAATATTGATTACTTTTAAATATATTTTAAAAAGATATTAGTATAGACGCCTTGATTTTCTTTTAATAATCATATTGGTCTTAGTTTGTAACGTTTGCTAGCCTAGATGAAGAGGTTTTTATTCCTCAAGTTTTGGAAGGTTGTTTTGGGCATTCATTTTAGTACACCACCACTGTGCTGTGGTTTTTCAGTTTTAGATGTGCAAAAAGCTCAGTGAGAGCTGAAGTAGGTAGCCAGAAACTAAAATGGTTTCCATCACCACCACCAATAACACTTCTATGCTTTCCTAAGCCCTAAACTCTAGGAAGATGGAGACAGAAGAAAAAAGTAAGGAAAACGGTGAAGACAGTAAAGGCACTGAGGGTAAGAAAGATGTTGGAAAACAGCACTGGTCAGACACGACAAAGCAGAATTAAAACGACCAAAATGGGAAATTTTAGAGCACCATTCTGTGCCCTACTCTTTCCCATGAGATCAAGAGGAGTGTGTGGTTTATATTTAAAAGATACACACACACATATACACATACCTAGAGACAGAACAGAGAGAAAGAGATCAAAAGTGATTTATCAAAAATCAGTGTGGAACTCTTTGGAGAATTTTATTAGAAGTGTTCTAATTTTATTAGAATGTTATTATAGTTCTCTTATTCTTGAGAACTATAATAACTTTGTAAATGTAAAATTAGCCATATTCAAAGAAATCTATCAACCAGAAACATAGTCCTGGCTTTTAAATAAAGTCACCATTTTTGATTGATTAAATCTTACCAAAGTAGATTTTTCTTCATTATTAATGTATTTCATTCATATCAATTCAGAGTAGAGCAATTCTGAAATCAAAATAGATTTCCACCAAAGTCAGGGTTTACAAAGTCAACAGTGCTAATGGGTTCTGCCCTCATGAATGTTGGGAAGCGGGGAGGGAAGGTAGCTAGATCATTTTGCAACTTCATAAAATTCCAGACATCAAATATTGGGAATTAGTAGTGAATAGATGGAGGTTTCAGGACCCTCAAAATAAACTTTTGAATATTAGGCTTCTCTCCTGGTTAACCTAAGCCAAAAGATTCTCTGGGGAATACAGTAAATTTGAACTTTTGTGTGGCCTTTTTATTTGTGTGTGTGTGTTTTAGCAAGCACCCTGGAATGGCAAATGCTTCCTCCTCAGTGGAACCATGTAGATTCAGAAAAAGCCATCTTCCATTGCGAAGACAATTGTTTTCTATAGAGACAAGAAACAAATGCCCATGACCCGGGTCACCTCATCCCAGCAGGCTTTTGCTGCGGCTTCCTCTGAGCAAACACAACAAAGTCCAGAGCAGTCAATCCTGCTGCCGCACACTGGGCCCCCGCAGTTGTGCTCTGCTATTTACCCTTCCTATTAATCTGTCAATGTTCTAGTCAAACATGCAAAGCAATATGGTGGGTGCATAGTTTGATTGGTCATTGCTAAGTAACTTGGGCCAAAGATGAAGAAATGGAACTTCCAACCAACAAAATGTGAGGCCCAATTTGAATGTTAGAAAATGCTCAACAATACCAGCTCATGACAATGTTTTCAGAGTGACTGTGATTTAGCATCCCTTGCACCAGAAGAGTGGTCCCAATAAATGACATTCAGTTCCAGAATCTAAATTCAGGTCATGTCGCTGTTCCTATCGTTGTAAAATAGAACCGTCTGGGTATTTTGCACAGGGTGTTCATTCAAAGATGCTATCATCCTTTAGTGAAGAAACTATTGAGGGCTTTGGTTTGGTACACAGGTGAGCCCATGGTTAACAACCAAAATAGTCTTTGAACTGCAGAACAATAGTCCTTGGTCCAGCACTTCCTGCTGAAATGTTTACCTCCATATTTCCAAAATGCAATCCAAATTATCAAACATTTTGAACAAATTTAATAGCTCATACCGTCATTCCACTTTCTTTCTTTTCTGCTAGTCCAGATGAATCTTCAGAACCCTTCTTAACGCAAAGCTCTCGGCAGCCATTTCTAGCCTCGGCCACTGGAATTAGCACAAAAGATAGAGCCCGTTTGTTATTTCAGCCCTAGAGCCTCAAGTGAACAAATTCATTCAGATGCAAGATGTATTTAATGGAAGTGAGCAACAACTGTCTAACAAACACCTTGCTAGAAAGACAGAGCATGTATTTCCCTGCTGTGTGTCTTCAGAAATCAGGAAGAATGGAAATAGTAAGTGGCTACTTGTAATTCTGGAATGCTAGAACATAGTACAGCAAAGTGAAAGAAAATATGGATAATGAAGTCAGGTTGACTTGAGATCAAATTCCCCCATTCACTGGCTAATTTACTAGCTATGTGCCCTCTGGCAAATACTTAGCTGCTCTGAGACATGTTTGTTCATCTGTAAAATGGAGAAAATAAGACTGGGTACTGTGTGAGTCATCTCCTTTGACTCCTGTCCCTGCTTCACTTTCTCTGACCATTTGCTTCTCCTCAGACCACTGGCAGCTCCAGGCTCATATCTTTGCAGTTTTTGACCCAAGAGAAAAAGGATCCCCCTCTTTCCAGCTTGAGTCCAAATATTGAGAGGAAGAACTCTGATTGGCTTGGCTTGAATTATATGTCGACTACTGGACTCTTGCTATAAGGATTCTGATTGGTCCAGATTGGGTCACATGTCCATCCTGATAGCCAAGATGCCAAGGGACTGTGCTTGGGCTGTCCCTAGAACCACTTGGTGGGAGTGGGGAGGAGCTGCTTCCTAAAAGAAGTGTTAGGTGGGAGGAATACTTTCCTTGGATAGACAACACAGTACCTGTGTGCTCTATGACCTCATTGGGAAAATTAAATAATATATGTAAAGCACTTAGTAACTGGCACATACAAGTATTCCATAAATAGCAGCAAAGATAATGGTCATTAGCTTTATCATTATTATTATCAATTTCTATTTTGAAAAGAATACAATCAACAGTAGGGGTACTCACAGGACACTTAATATATCACTTTGGGTTCATCACTTGCTGATACCAGTTTTAAACCTAGCTACTCAAATAGCACTCTCAGTGAAATATACAACTAAGTGCAATGACCATACCTTTCGTACTTCAATTTGAATTCAACTCATAGTTCAAATTATGGAAATTTCACTACAGTCCAGTTTATGAAAAAAATACGATGCTAATGGATGAAATTAAAAAAATTGATTCATGCATGCATTCCTTGAGCTGTTATATGTCAGGCAGTGGACTAGACCCTGGGCAACACAGAGAAACAAAATTGACCAAGCCCTGCCCTCAGTGAGCTTATTTTTCAAAAGAGAAGCCAGAGGGGAGTGAGAAATGATATGAAGAAAAAAGCAGCAGAGTAAGAAGTTAGAAAGCACAGGGTGGATTTTAGGTAGAGGGCTCATAGCAGGGTTTCTGGGCAGAGACACAAACAAAGTAAGAGAATAAACCCTGAGTATCCCAGGGGCCAGCATTCCTCTCCAAGGGAAGAGACAGTGAGCGCTGAGTCTGGAATGTGGCAATGTGGCCAGAGCAGAGTGAGCTGAGGGAGGGGACAGGAAGTGATGTTAGAGAGCTTGTGCCCCCACCCATGTCCATGTCCTAATACCTGGAACCTGTGAATATGTTACCTTAAGTGGCAAAAGGAACTCTGCAGGTGTGATTAAGTTAAGGATCTTGAGATGGGAAGATGATCCTGGATTATCCAGGTGAGCCCAATGTGATCACAAGAGCCCTTAAAAATGGAAGTGGGAGGCAGAGGACAAGTGATGTGATGTGAGAAATACCCAATCCACTGTTGCTTGCTTTGAAGATGGAGGAAAAGAGACACGACCTAAGAAATTAGGACAGCTTCCAAAAGCTGGAAAAGACCAAGTAGAATCTCACCTAAAGTCTCCAGAAAGGAATGCAATCCTGTTGACACCTAGATTTTAACCCAGTGAGACCCTTGTCAGACTCCTAACCTAGAGAACTGTAAGATAATAGATCTGTGTTTTTTAACCCACTAAATTTGTGGCAATTCTTTACTGCAGTATGAAACTATTACTAATATAGTATCATTCTTAACATTACCAGGGCATTTGTACTTTCTTTACATATCATTGAAAAGTCTCCCTCTGAGTTCTGTTGAAAACCCTAGACTTGTACAACTTCCTAAGAACAATATCAGCTGCTTTTAAGCGAGTACACATGCCTAATGGTGTGGGGGTGCCTTAGCAATAGGAGAAGGAAAGAATGGCAAAGGAAACACGGCTGTGTCTCCAAGCTTTCCTAGAATCCATGTAATGTGTCCCTATGGTAGCAAAAAAATAATTTAAAAATTATTTTATGACAGCATGTAAAATTATGCAGCAATTTACAATGATATGGATAAATATGGAACTAAGAAGATGTTCCAAACTATAAGACCAACAGCACTGAATCAAGAATCAAAATTAGTGGGTGAAATGAAGCAAACCTATTGGCCTAAAAAAAATGTAAAAGATGAAGTGTCTTTCATACGCTACCTGCATCCTGTTTGCCAACAGTCTGATTTTTAGGCACCAAAGAGGATGCTTCTCTCTTTGCTTCATGCATGTCACCACAGACATTCATTTGGTGAGTTCAACTCCCTATAAATGAATGGAGAGAGGAGAGCAGGTTTACAATGATGCAATGACAGGGAAAATTGACATCCGAATCATTCTATCCATGAACATAGCATTTATTTCCTGTGACTTACAATAAAATTTTATACTCTTCTACATAAATTTCTTAACCATCTATGGTAGGATGTAATACTAGGAAGTGCAGGGTTAGTCTAATTGGTTGGTTTGGGGTTCTTTGCATTGTAAATGATGTTTTTAAAATCATTTTTCTAATCATTTCCAGGGTATAGAAATGCAATTTAATTTTTTTTTTTTGGCATATTATGGGGGTACAGATTTTTTTTTTTTTTTGAGACAGAGTCTCGCTTTCTTGCCTAGGCTAGAGTGAGTGCCGTGGCGTCAGCCTAGCTCACAGCAACCTCAAACTCCTGGGCTCAAGCGATCCTCCTGCCTCAGCCTCTCGAGTAGCTGGGACTACAGGCACAAGCCACCATGCCCGGCTGATTTTTATATATATATATTAGTTGGCCAATTAATTTCTTTCTATTTTTATGGTAGAGACGGGGTCTCGCTCAGGCTGGTTTTGAACTCCTGACCTTGAGCAATCCGCCCGCCTCGGCCTCCCGGAGTGCTAGGATTACAGGCGTGAGCCACCGCGCCCGGCCTGGGGGTACAGATTTTAAGGTTTCAATAAATGCCCAATCCCCCCCTCCCCCCAAAAGTCTGAGTCTCCATCATGACCATCCCCCAGATGGTGCACATCTCACTCATTATGTATGTAATTTTATAGATTATTTTAAACCAGCAAGCTAGCTAAACTCTCACATTAATTCTAAAAAATATAGCTGTAGATTACCTGGGGGTTTTAATGTGAATAATTATATTACTTGCTAATAGTGACAGCTTTGTTTCTGCCTTTGAAAGTTTTTAGCTTTAAATTTTTCGTCTTATTACATTAGTTTGCGTCTCTAAAATATTATGGAACAGCTGTGGTGGTAGGGGGCATCTATGCTTTTTACAAAAACAGATTTATTATGAAGCAAATATAGCCTACATCCCTGTGAAACAAGTAAAGTTCACTTGCATGGACCCCTATAAGTTCTGGGAGTCATTAGGATTTGCAGAGTATTCTAGGTATAGAGGGGAAATTGGGAAGCATTTCTGATAAATGACTTTAAAAACTCTCAAAAATGAAATGACTTAAATTTCTAAGTCCCCAATATTTTATAAAATACCCACTTATGTTTTAATCTATTCGTATAATAGGTTCTATTTTATTATATTCCTTAACATTATTTATATTGCATATCTCTTCTTTTCTTGACAAATCTTGCCAGAGGCCGTCAATTTTATTAGTTCTTTCAAAGAACCAACTTTTACCTTTGTTGATTCTTTTTATATGTTTATTTTCTAATTCATTAGTTTTCCTTATGTGTTTTGTTAAAATTATTCTTTCTTATACATTTCAGGGGGGTTGTTCTGCTGCTCTTCTATTCTTAAATTCCTGATGTGTAATCTTCTTTTCTAATGTATTTAAATAATTGTATTTTCTTCTATTACCAGTTTGCCTGCCTTTCACATATTTTGAAATGTAGTGCTTTTATTGTCCCTATTTCTAATGCCTTTGAATTAGCATTATGATTTCTTAACCCAAAAGTTGTTTAGATGTATGGTGTTTCCCAATTATCTTTTTGCTAGTAATTTCTAAATTAGTTGCAATTTGTTCCTAAAATAAGATCTGTTTAATATTAATTCTCTAAAATTTGAGGGTAGTTTTATAGTCTTCATGTAATTAATTTTTATAAATGTTTCATATGTGCTTAGACTCACTATTTCCCAATTATTGGATTTAATCTACAACTGTTCATTAAACCCAGCCTATTAAGTGTGTTGTTCAAATCATCTATATCCCTGATTTTTTATCTGCTTGATCCATTAACTACTGAGAGAGAAATATTAAAATCTCCCTCTAATGTAGTGGGTCTTTCTATTTTTCCTATAATTTGGTCAACTTTGGTTTTTTTAATTTTGAAGGTTTATAATTAGTGGCAAAAAGGTCAGAGTTATTATATCTTAACAAATTAAGTCTTTTTTATTACATAGGTCCCTTCTTTATCTCTACCAATATTCTTTCCCCCTTAGAGAGTGTTTAGTCTAAAATTAATATAGCCATAGTAGCTCTTCTTGTTAGTATTGCTAGTACAGTAAAACCCAAGCTATAATGTGATAAGTGATGCCCAAAAATATTAATCATGTAAAACATGGGATTATGTAATTATGCAGTTAAAGAAAATATTTTTAGTTAGCCCATTTTGTTTTTTTGTCTTCTGTCTTTCTAGCTTCTGGATAACTTCTTTAGATTTACATTCCAACTCATTAAATTTCTCTTCAATTTTATCTAATCTACTGTTTCATTTACCTATTGAATTTTTAACTGAAATTACATTTCTATAAGTCTGTTTTTCCAATATATCTGATTATACTTTATTGCATCTGTTCCTTGCTCATATACTCAAACTTATTGAAATATAGTAAATGTAGTAAATATACTTAATTTCTGATGATATCAAAAGTCTATGCAGGTCTAATATCACTGTCTGTTATTTCTATTGTTTCTCAGTTAGACTTCCTCTTTTCTTGTGTGTATCATAAATTTGGACAGTGAGTTTTTCATTTTACTTTGAACTTTATATGTGGAAATTTCTTGAAGGCCTGTGTTTAACTCAGTTTTCCAGAATGGATACAGCCTAAGGCCATTTTTAATTAAATTCTCCACTTGAAATTTTTTTCAGGCCCAAATACATGGCACGAATTAGGACTCAAACATTTATGGGGGCTGGCTTGTAGTTATGAGAATTATGGGTATAATTTTTCTCCACTCCACCCACAGTGGAAGTTTAACCAAGCAGCTTTTCTTGCCACCTTTCCTCTATGTCAGGTGTATTTATTGTTTGTTCTTACACTGAGAGTGTAGTGTTTTGAGATCCCAGCTTTGTACTTTCACTCAGCTCCCCACTTTATCTCCAATGGCCATTTTCTGTGTTGCCATCAAAATTTAAATCTTAGTCTCCAGCAGAAGTCCTCCAAGTTATGACACTTAATTATTTTCCAGAATTTCTACCTTCATGCCAGCTCAGAAATGCATTCTACAATGTTTTTAAAATATTTTATCCTGCATGTTAATCAATTTAAGAAGTCAAGTAAGATAACTGGTCTGCAATTCTTAGAAACAGAAAATCCCCTGTTGTGTTTTCTATCTAATCTTTATAAATTTTTTTAATTATTGAATTTTGTATTTATTTGGTATCTAATTAGCTTATTCAACATGATTACTCATCCATTGATTTTTTTTTATTTTATTAGTGAATTTTATTTCTTATAATGATTTCTATCATATAAAAGCTTCTATTTCTTTAAAACATTAAAGAACTCATTTGTAAAACTACTCGGGCTCAGAGCCTTTTTTGGAGTTTCTTATTTTCATATTTTCATTTTTCATCTTTGTCATTTTGTTATTCTAATCAGGTCTTCCATCTCTCCTTGAGTTCATTTTTACTATTTTTGTCCATTAATATAATAATTTTGTTGAAGCTTTTAACAATATAACTTATCACAGAATTCTACATAGTAGTTTCTTATATTTGAAATCTCTGTATGTACTATAGCAAGCACTATAGCAAGAGGGAATTCTGGTTCATCCATTCCACTTCTTTGGAATTGTATATATAGCATCTTCTGCTCTACCCCTGTGCCCCCAGAAAAAATACAGAAAGAAACACTCTTTCCCTCAAGAGATATTGGTGAGAATGAAGAAAGCCTTATATCTATTGAGACAGATTTACCAGGAGTTATACTATTGAAAAAGTAGTAAGGATCTATCTGTCTCTCACTTTCTATTATTATCTTGCTTCCTTTTTTGTCTTCCTGTGCCCAGACACAGATAACCTTGAGTTCCTGGTTTCTACATGTCAAGCGGACCTTGTAGACCTTGGCAAATAGGCCTGTCAGTCACTCTTCTATCTACCCAAGAGTCTCCAATGTGACTGGGCAGTTATCTTCCATCAATTCAGACTGGAGAGAGGGAGAAACTCATTCTGTCTTAAAATGTGAGTCTCACTCCCCAATTTATCTTTACCAAGGAGCTCTTTACTCAGGGATGAGCTGGGCTACTAATATTTCCTACTTTCTGAATCTGAGCTGGAAATACTGAGACAAACCTAGCAGTTCATATCAGAGGAGGAGCTGAATGTCATGAGCTGGAGAGAGACACATTAAGGATCATGATCAAATGGATGGCATGAATAAGTAGAAGCTCATCCCTTCATGCCATGCCATATCACGGATCCCAAGTGCCTAGGCAATGACTACGGCTTACGGCCAGTCAAGTGTCTGGCCCTAGGTCGACCATCTCCATTTGGCCTCCTCAATAGCAGCTCAAACTTAACATTTTGAAACACAATTCTTGATTCACATTTCCCATCTTGGTTCCCTTCCCCACCTCGGCAACATGCACCAACATCTGCTAAGTTATTCAGTTCTATGCATTTTTCTTGATTCCTCCCTTTTTCTTATTACCTGACTCATGCATGCTGCCCTTCAAGTCTCACCAGCTCCTTCTCTAAAATAAATCCTAAATCTACCCATTCTCTTCATTTCCATTAATACTAGCTTAATGCACTATACCATTATTTCTCGTCTACATTACTACACCAGTCTTTTAATAGCTTCTAACCAGTCATTGCACTCCCATTCTTTCCACCATTCAATCCATACTCTACAGCAGTAATGATCTTAAAATATACATGCAATCATGTAGATCCCTCACTGAGAATCCTTCAGTAGCTCCCTATTTCTTTTAGAATAAAAACCAGTCTTATATCATGTCCAGTGCAGCTTTCCATGATCTGATTCTGGCTAATCTCTCCAACTTCATCTTGTGGCATTCTCCCCACACTCACAGTGTTCCAGCCACACCAGCCCTGCTTCAGTGACTCGGGACCCTTGAGGCTCTTTTCTGCCTCAGGGCCTTTGCACACATCTTCGCTTCCTTGGTCTTCCTGCTACCTCACTTGCTTTAGGTCCCCGCTGAAAAGTGATCTCCTCAGAGAGGACAAGGCCACCCTAACCAAAGGGAATCTCCTCCTCCAATTTGTAATTCTTTGTTTTATTTCCTTACATTTTCATATTTTTCACAGCTCCCTAAATTATTAGGAAAAAAAGTACAAAGAACAGAGAAAAAGCAAAAGCCAAAAAGGGAAAATAAAATAAAAAAAAATCTTTAAAAGATAAGAAAAAGAAGAAAAAGGCAAGAACTTGAAATAGGCACAAAATCATTAGCATACCTGGAGAAAAAAATAAATTCATAAGATTTTTAAATAAATGCAATTATTAAATACTTTTAAAGTGAACATCCTACCTACTTATTTCTAAGTCTTAGGTAATGATTTCTAACTTCTCTACTTTCAAGATAAGTCTAACTTTCCTTGAATTCCAGTGACTACAATATTCACTAGTTTAAGAACTTACCAAAATGAAGGCTCAAAATGAGTTAGAAGCATTTGAAAAAGTCATTATGAGCCCCTAGAAAAGTCTAATGCTTCTTTTCTCATTGTAAGTTTGCATAGCAAGGATCTAAGACAAGTTTTAAAATAAAACAACCCTCTCTGAGAGCCATGGGTACATGAGGCATCATTTCCCCACAATAGCCTGGCCCTCTCGTCTCTCTTTGTCCTCTGCAATGCCTCTTTGTAAATCACAGGTGTTTGTGGGTATAAAGCCCATCAGAAGAGAGTTTATTGTGAAGAGTTCTTTCTTTGCCCCTTGTTCTAAACCTGTTCAGAGAGTGCTCCATGCCTTACACCAAATCTCCATAAAAATCAAGAAACAAGAAGTTTTCTGTATGTCTGCCCAACAGCCACACTATGACATTAGTTTCGACAGCTCTGTGACCCGGTATTGTCCCAACTTTATTCACTAGTCTCTTTTTCCCTTTCTCTCTCCATTCCTTTTCTAAAAGCCTTTATTGGCATTTTTTATCTACTGTAAAATAAAAAGGAGGAGGATGGTTTCTTTTTTTTTTTTTAAGCACTCTATGTGGCAGCTAGAAAAAGCTATCTGCAGTTACTGTAGTAATGGTTTCAAAAAACACCTGCAAATCAAAGAAAGACACCATGGCAGTGTCTTCAGACTTTTTTTTTTCTTCCCCTAAAGTTCCTCTTTGGCCATTATAGGGTAAGCCAGGCAATGAATTTATGTGACAGCTATGAAGTTAGTATTAAAATTGTGAATAGTGCCTCGCAGTTTTCATGCCCTTGGTATAAGATCGCCTCAATTTGCAGCACAGCGGTGAATAGGGTAAGCGAGCGGGGGTGTCAAATGAATGGAGGGGGAGGCGGGGGTGTGAATGGGAGGCTTTCCCGGGAGGGGCAGCGCAGGAGTCCCGCGAGAAAAGTGATTTATTTTTGAAATTCCAGGAAGGAAGACTAAAAGAAGCTGCCTAAAAGATCCTGAAGCGCAGGGCGGGGGGTGTGAGATAAATAATATGTCCACACACACCAGCTCTAGAAGCAGGGCCCGGGTGGGGGCGGGCGGTGGTAAATCCATTCCTCTGGTCTTCCAAGATTGAATATTAAATGCCAGCAGGGAGCAGATGTGGGCAGGGCTGCAGAATGGGGGTGAGGGGCACGGAAGGAGGGGTTAAGCGTTTATCTCAATGGAAATTAACCACTTGGGGGAATTAGGGGAGAGCTGGAGCGGGGTGGGCGGCGGGGGAGCGCAGGGGCACCCGGGAGAGCGTCCCTGGGCGCAAAGAGAGGAACTTTTCTGGCGGGGATTTGGGGCGGGCGCGAGAACAAGGAGGCGAGCGGCTGCGGGGAGCAGGGGCGTGCCCTCCCCCGCCCGCGGCCCGCCCCGCCCCGTATTAGCATGCGGGCGGCCGCGGCCGGCGGCTGGGAGGGCGGCGGTGGCGGAGCCGCGCGGGGCGCTTTGTGGGCCGCGGTCGCCTCCGCGGGGGACCATCTGCTCGCTGTCAATGCATCACCTGCTCGTCTGGGCCGTCGCCGGGGCAACGGGGGGCGGGGGATTAAGGAGCGTGTGCATCCCGGCCAGGCAGCCGGGCGGGGGTGGGGGGGACGGGGGGTGGGGCTGGGCTCTCCTCGGCACCCCACACCCCGTCCCGGGACTGGTCCGCCGGGCCGAGGGGGCTGGCGACCAGCCGGGCGGGCTCCGCCGCTTGCCGCCGCCCCTTGGCCTTTGCAGAGACTCCGGGCCGCCTCGGCTTGCGGAGGTGGTGGGAGTCCCGAAGAGGAGCAGAGAGCAAATGGTCCGGCCCCACCTAACCCCTCTCGAGTGCTAGACCTGCGACCCCCGCGTCTACCTGGAGCAGCATAGGCCCTGTCCCCGGCGCGCCTCCAGCAGCCTCCTCCACCGGAGCTGGCCCACCCTGCACGGTCCCTGGGGGCGCGGCGCGGTTCCGAGCGCCCTGTAGTCGCCAGGCAACCACAATGGGGCAGCATCGAGATTAGACCCTCCCCGTTCCTGCCACCAAAGTCACAGATAACTTTCACACCTCTCCTCTGACACTGTGGTCTGACGCCCAACGTTAAGCTCTGGGGAAACCTTCCACATAGAATAGGAGTGACACCTGCGGGGCAGGGGGAGGGGGACGATTGATCAAAACGGGATGATTTCCCACGGAAGGGGTAGTTCTGGAGGTAAAAGTCCCCAGATATCCTAAAGCCCCCTGTCACCTACTCTCGCTCGCATTCTAATTTTGAACACGGGAGAAGCACAAGGACTGAGGCAGCCAACAGCAGGGGGCAGAGCGAGGCTGCAGATGGGGACAGTGTCTACTTTGGGACACTTTTGATCCAAAGTCAGGCTCTCTGGTTTAGAAACTTCCAGGAAAATCCATCCCCTGCTCTTTCCCATTTCCACGCCCACCTCCAACTGGTCAGAGACACCAACTGCACCCAGAAGGTTGCCCACATCTGCCTGAGGAGTCCACGCTGCTAAACAAAAGGCTGCTTAGCCCCCACATAAGCTTCCCATAGACTGCACAGAACAAAGGAGTTGTTAAGTTTTAATCACAACTCATTTTTTTCTGAGCGGGCTTATTACTGGACACTCCTCTGCAAAACAACAGGACCAGCCTCAAGTGGACGTCCACCGAGTGCTCACTGCTGAGTCTCAGGCTGCACACCCCAGCACTGACATCTAAAATATTTCCAGCCAGGTAAAATCCTAGCTCATCTGTAAAGACTCTGAGTGAAGAAAGCCTCAGGTCTTTCTTGTTAGATCTCATTCCAGAACCTGGCAACTCTTGAAAAACCAACAGTCTTTCTCTGACTAACTTAGCAGCTCAAACCCATTTCCTGCAGTTCTTAAAAAGAGAGAGACAGAGAGAGAGAAATTGACTTCTTTGTTTAAAGTTGCACTAAATAAATACAAGTTTGTGATACTGACCCTATGTTCATCTTTTCCAACTAAAATCTCACAATCATCAAGTCAGATTTCTCTCATCCCTTTATAATTCCTAGATATGAACACTATGAATCAAGCTAATTTTATGAGTAAAATGCAATTTTAAAAATTTGCGGTTACCACACAGTAGATGACACTAATGTTATCACTTTGTTCTCTTATCATTAATATACAAGAGAAAAAAGTCAACTATCAAAATAGCCATGGTTTTGACAGAATAGATGAAAGGGGGAAAGTTTGTGTGTGTAAACTTGCTCAAAAAATAAAGTTCTACCCACCCTGTTACTTTTATTATGACTTTCATAAATTAAAGTTGAGATTACTGAGGAGACAATGTGCTCTTTGATCCACAGGGTATTCCCAAATGCACAGAATCATCGCATCATTCCCACTTAGAGAAGGGATGACTTTGAGTACTACTATCCTACCTGCAGGCAAGGTGACTGGAACCCAAAGACAAATGACTGGCCCAAGACTGTACTGCCAGGGCCTGGGGATGCCCAAGGCTCTTTCAACTCCACCAACCTCCACGAGATGCAGTTTTGCACATCACGAATACCTCAAAATGCACTATATTACTATTCCTACAGCTAATGGCTTCATTTGGCCAGGAAGTAGGAGTCCCTATCACCTAACCAGGGCATGGCACATAGCAGATGTTCAAAAAATAGTTGTTGGATGAATGCATAAATGAATCAACAAATGAATAGTGCATTTCCCAAGTAGACAAAAAGAGGAAGATATTCCAGGCAAAGATATCACAGTACATGATAATGTGACATATATACAATGGAATACTATTCAGCCATAAAAAAGAAATCCTGCCATTTGCAACAACATGGGTGAGCCTAGAGGACATTATGCTTAGTGAAATAAGCCAGACACCAAAAGACAAATACTGCATGATTTCACCAATATGTGAAATTTTAAAAAGCCAAACTCGTAGAAACAGATAGTAGAATGGTGTTTGCCAGGGGATGGGGAGATTATTAGTCAAAGGATACAAAATTTCAGTTTTAAGATGAGCAAGTTCTGGTGATCTAATGTAAATCATGGTGAATATAGTTAATAGTGCTGTATTATATACTTGAAATATAATAAGACAATAGAACGTCAGTGTTCTCACCACCATACACATATAAAAATGTAATTATAAGATGTGATAAACCTAAGGTATGAAACTATTAGAATTCTAGAGGAAAAAGTTGGAAACACTCTCATAGACATCGGCCTGGGCAAAGAGTTTATGAAGAAGTCCCCAAAGGCAATCACAGCAGCAACAAAAATAAATAAATGGGACATGATCAAACTACAAAGCTTCTGCACAGCCAAAGAAATAGTCATGAAAGTAAACAGACAACCTACAGAATGGGAGAAAATTTTTGCATCCTACGCATCCGATAAGGGACTGATAACTAGAATATACTTAGAACTCACGAAAATCAGGAAGAAAAAATCAAATAACCCCATTAAAAAGTGGGCAAAGGACTTGAACAGAAACTTTTCTAAAGAAGACAGAAGAATGGCCAACAAACATATGAAAAAATGCTCAACATCTCTAATCATCAGGGAAATGCAAATCAAAACCACAATGAGATATCACTTAACTCCAGTGAGAATGGCCTTTATCAAAAAGTCTCCAAACAATAAATGCTGGCGTGGATGCGGAGAGAGAGGAACACTCCTACACTGCTGGTGGGACTGCAAACTAGTTAAACCTCTGTGGAAAGCAATATGGAGATACCTTAAAGCGATACAAGTGAATCTACCATTTCATCCAGCAATCCCATTGCTGGGCATCTACCCAAAAGATCCAATGACACTCTACAAAAAAGACACCTGCACTCGAATGTTTATAGCAGCACAATTCATAATTGCAAGGCTGTGGAAACAGCCCAAGTGCCCATCAATCCAAGAATGGATTAATAAAATGTGGTATATGTATACCATGGAGTACTATTCAGCTCTAAGAAACAATGGTGATGTAGTACATCTTATATTTTCCTGGATAGAGCTGGAACCCATTATAATGAGTGAGATGTGCACCATCTGGGGGATGGTCATGATGGAGACTCAGAAAAAAAAAAGAATACTTCCTACCTTAGAGATGTAGTCGTCAGATAATGTAAAGGTCTTAGCACAATCAACTTAATGTGAGATTGAAAAAAAAATTCCAAGAAAATGAAACAAGCCAAAAAAAAAAAACCCAAAACCCCTTTCCATGCTTTTCCTTATCCAGAAATATATATTTCTCTACTTCTCATACATAAGAATGTTTTCAAGGTTACAAGTCCCTCCGCCCATCCCTGGGGAAAGAGACAAATTGTTCATGCCTCCCAGAATGAATTCCTATAATGAGGTAATGAGGGAGTGTGTTTTCTTCCTGATTCAAAATCACAAATATCAGCGTGGTTTATCCATAAAGGCAGGCCAGTAATCCACTGTGGAGTATTTTCTCCCCAGCACATCTCCTGCCACACGTCTAAATTGATTTTAAATGATGTACTTTCATGGAATCCCACTTTCTAAAGCCTACCTGGTTTTATGGTGATGTTTCCCTGGACAGAATTCAATCTGAATTTCCCTTAATAAAACTCATGACCTGTTAAAAAAAAAAAAAAAGATGTGATAGATATGCTAATTAGTTTGACTGTGGTAATCATTTTATGTTGTAGATATTTATCAAATTATCATATTATATGCCTTAAATTTATACAATTTTTATCTGTCAATTATATCTCAATAAAACTGGGGAAAAGGTTTAAGAAGAGATATCAGAATATGAACAAAGGTTCAGGGGCATGTGTGTTTAAGGAATGATGAGTGAACATCATTGTGAGCAAAACAATACAATGGAGAAGAAGAAGATGGCATACTGGTTTGGAGGTATGTTGAGAAGGGATTTGACTACCATGCCAAGAATGTGGATTTTGTCTTAAGGATCAATAGTTCTTAATAGAATTAAGAATCAATTGTCTTAAGAATCAATGTCCTGAGTAGCACCTAAGTGGACACATAGGTGCTACAGTAATAGGGTATTGGGGAGGTGGGAGGGGGGAGGGGGGCGGGTATATACATACATAATGAGTGAGATGTGCACCATCTGGGGGATGGTCATGATGGAGACTCAGACTTTTGGGGGGAGGGGGGAAATAGGCATTTATTGAAACCTTAAAATCTGTACCCCCATAATATGCCAAAATTAAAAAAAATTAAAAAAAAAAAAAAAGAATCAATGTCATCTGAATTCAATATCAGAACACTGGTTTAAACAGAACCTTGCAAGAAACCCAAACAGAATAAAACTGATCGACATAGAGCTGCCTTAGCTGAAGCAGGGGTAGGTCCTGACACCCTCCTCCATGCCCACAATCATACCATCCAGGCACTGCTGGGGACTCTAGTCTAGACTCTGGAATATTGATTAAACACCAGTGCCATGGACCAGTAGTCCCCAACCTTTTTGGCGCCAAGGACCAGTTTCATGGAAGATAATTTTTCCTCGGCCCGGGGAGCTGGGGGGAGCTCAGGCCGTGATGCGAGTGATGGGGAGCGGCTGGAGATACAGATGAAGCTTCCCTTGCTTGGCTGCTGCCCGCCTCCCGCTGTGTGGCCCAGTTTCCAACAGACCATGGACCAGACCGCTATGGGTCTGAGGCCCGGGGACTTAGATTAGTGACATTGGTAGTGAAATGGAAAAAAAAAAAAGAAAGAGATTTTGAAAATAGAATTCCTAATATACATTGTCTTCCTGCTTTAGGGAAAATAATTTCACCTCTGGTACAACCAAATTTGGATATTTTAAAATGATAATATATAACAAACTATAGCATTGTAACTGCTACTATGGCCAATGTATCCCCACATTTGCAAAAGTTTAGGAAAAAACACAACTTCTTTTGTAGTAACTGCTTAAACGATGGCTTATCTGATATATTTTAGGATTGTAAGAGGAGCAAATGCAAGATATAGAAAGATAGCAAACAGGGAGGCACAGATGA